TGGGTGTTAATTGCTGAAGATATTTGCTTTATTATGTTTTAGAATTATTTAAAACTTCAAAACATTTCTTGTTTTGTTTGGTTTTTTTTCGGTTTTATTGCTGAATACTGCAAGAACAAACAGGAAATTTCCACAGCAAATGCATTAGTGCTCTGTTGCAACAATATGTGTTGTAATTTGGTGCCCAAAAATTGCCCTAAACTTAGTGCATCCGATATTTCCGTTGGCTATTTTGGATGGCCCTTAATTTCTATTCATACCGAAACTATTCTGAAGGAGCCTTTAAATCTTCACACAAAGAGTTTCGCCGTAAACGGTTGCAAGCATTGGAAGTCATCAACTATAGTGAATATATGTATATGTATACATATATAGTCGTCTTCCCGTTTGCGTAGTATATTATTGTTTCTTGTTCCGTTTTTCGAAATTGTCTAATCGGTTATTAACATTATGCAACTTTCGGCCAGTGGAGATGGATTTGATATTTGTTTGTTGAATCTATGAGCTCTGTTGTTAATATGGACGGTTTCATATCCGTGCGCACGTTTTGGGCGCCAGTAATTGTCATCAATAGAAAATTTGATAAAATTACACCAAAAATCAATTACTGCAGTTGGTGGAAATGGGGCGTCTAAAATTTTTGTTGAAAAGATCTTCATATTCGCCGAGTTGAAATCGTTCAGGGGCACTTTTTTAACGGTTAATCAAACCGTGGTGTGAATGTCTCAGGTCATAGTGAGTAAGAGTCGAAAAAAAAAAAATTACTCACCACAGAAGTTTCAAAAACCGGTCGATCGAGTGTGGTGCGAGGGTATTATTTCTCAAAGATTATTTTGGTAATCCTGTTCAAATATTACAAATGCGTCCGTACAACCGTAGCCTTTTTTTTCAAATCTTTATGTTTCTACTATATTCATGATATATATACATAAACAACACATATTTTGCATGTGCCTCATCTCATGATCTTCCTGGATATTGATGTTGACGTTGATGATGACGATGACAATGACGAAGACGACGGCGATGATGATAAAGCCACTTTTTCCACTTTCTCTTTCTCCTCGTTGTCAAAATATTTTTTCGGTGAATCAGCTATAACAGTAAGGCATATAGCGTGCAGTGGGGATAGTGTTTATATGGGTATTTATGTGGATGAATGTCTGAGAGGAGCATTAAGCGAAATATTGGACAGGGAAACGGAAGAGCAGAAAATTTTAGTTTGATAGATAGCTAGGCAAATGGAAAGAGATAGAGAATTGGGGGCTGCTTGGAGAAATAGGGGACGAGAGGAGGCGAAATGGAGGTGCATTGCGGAGACGGTTGGAAACGTCGGGGGTATCGCAACACAAACGAAAACACGACATGTGGCGTTCACTGTTCCGCTGGGTTTCGCGCAAACAGAAAAAAAAAAAACAAAAGCGCCACCGCTACTCCGCCTAATGCTATGCGGCTACAACTGCTATACGTCGACGTCGTTGTCGTCGTTGTCATTTTTCTGCCATATTTATCGCTCTGTGTGTGTGTGTGTGTCTTTAAATACCACTGCGATTTTTGCTTTTTTTTTATTGCTTTTTCTTTTTCGCCTTTCTTATGGTTTTTCCCCCTCATTGTCGGCATTCATTAAGTGTCTCAGTTGGTTTTTGTTTCTTATTTTCCTCTCTGGGCAAATTTTTTTCAGGATTTTTGAAGACGAAAAAAAAAAAAGCTTTGTTTTTGGCATTTCGATTGATTGGTTCACTTTTTTGCTCGTGGTTTTTCCTTTTGTTCATTGATTTTACATGAAACTTGTCGTTTTCGTTGCCATTTTTTCTTACTTATTTTTCTGCCTTTAATACTTTGTTTAGCGCTCAGATTTTTTATTGTTTAGGCTCGTCCTTCATTTGTTTGTACCGTACACGTTTGCTGCTTTGCAATTTAGACGGATGGAAGTAGTTCTGATAAGTGTCAGGTGAGAGAGAAGATAGCCGTTAATTTTCGTGATTTTACAGAAGATGGAGATGCATTTATCGAGATGACGAAAGTTTGTTGAAATTTTACTTATTTTCACTGGTATTAACGAGGGAAGGGGAGATGGGGAGGAGTAGTTTCATGTAAAAGATTTTGTTGCTTTTTCTACTTTTAGGTTCGTTATTACAAACCCTTAAAAATCCTGACATTTGTTCATCGGAATTTAGTTCTTGAAAAATTTAAAAAAGGAAACTGGAGGAAGGTTTTTTACGTCCGTTGAATCTATCCTTTTTTTTTTCTGCGGTTGTTTTTTCCTTTAGTACTGTCTAGTCATCTTTGTTTTCTTGCAAAATTTTTTCTTAATTGATATTTTTCTGCTATATTACAAAATGTGATGCAGACAGTTCAGTGAGTACTCTGCTTCACAAAATGCTGGTACGTTTGTTTATGTGGTGTTTTCTACGAAATATTTTTGTCAGACAAGCATAGTTCTGAAGCTATATAGAATGCTCATATCTTAAGCTTGGAAAAGTGGTTATATAACTAGCTTCTCAGAGTTGAGGATTACGATTAGTCATTTGAGTTGTATAGACGGGGCTAAAAAATTCAAGGTGTTGCACTATCGCTTCGTTTTGCAAGCGGACTACGCAATAGTTTGTAACGCTTTAGCGTTATAAATCTACCGCATTTCTTCCATGTAAATCACAGAGTCACCGTCCCTTGAAATTCTTCATTTTCCCTTAGAATTCCGTCTTTCCGTTCTAGCCCACAATGCAGGCTGCTTACATTTTTAGTGTT